ATGACGGTACTAAGTTATGTACTGTCGCTCAATGCGTGCCAAAGTTGGAGATAGAGTCCATAGCGTGAACGAGTAAACATCATGATGTGTTATGTTATCCACAACACGTCACTACACAACCAACGGGTACACCGTCACGTACAATCAATCGTGACACCGTCACGTACCCATGTATACAACTCCACACCACTAGTGTATACAACGCTACACAATCAATGTACATATCACTACACCACCGAAGCACACATCCAGACGCAAGCACACTCAACTTAACTACACACATACACACACACACACACACACACACACACACACCGATGCGCTCGCAGGCTGGACTGAGTTACGCGCAGGAGTGTGATCCGTGCCACATGGAGATGGAGGACTCAGGCACAGGGCCGTGTGACGAACACGCACTATGCATGAACGAAGACACGTCCTATGTGTGTGAGTGTGCCAAGGGGTTTGTGGGCGATGGGGCCACCTGCGAAGACTTCAACGAGTGTTTGGTGCCGATGACCGTTGCCCAGTTAATGGTAAGTATTAAGTGTGAGCTTATGCACATACGCACGGGATTGTCCTTGTTTTGGGGTGGTTGGGGTTGGGTTGGGTTGGTATTTAGCCTAGGGTTCACATGTGGTTGACCTTGTTTCAGATGGGTTAGGGTTGGGTTGGGTTGGGTTGGGTTGGTTTTTAGCCTAGGGTTCACATGTGGTTGTATCTGCCTGTGATGGCAATGGTTTGTGGCATACTATACGCACGATCTTACGTTTATAGCCCAATCAGATTTCTGGCCGAATGGACTATGCCCCTGTCTGAATACCATGTAAAAGTACTGTATCATAGAGGTACTCACGACGGTGGGTTTGTACCATATTTGTAGGGTTTTAACTATGCTTATCCCGTCTCTGTATTCTCTTAACCCCCCCCATCACCACACACAGACCCAATCAACCTTTGAGTGGGATGGTCAGGATATATTGTTCGCAGACGCTCTTCATCAAGCCAGCATTGGCCTGGGGAATGCGTGTAAGCTCGGGTGCATCAACACACCCGGCTCCTTCTACTGCCAGTGTGACCTGGGTACGTATCTCAACCAGACCGACATGGTCAGCTGTGCCTCGTGCGGCCCTGCACCCAATTGCCAGGACTATTGGACTCACTGTCTGGACAACGGGATGCCCGTGTGTCTGAGAGATAAGTGTGTGTCTGGGTTTGTCAACGACAATACCACCATGGCCAGTGAGTGTGTGGATGTGGACGAGTGTCTGACCAATCCCTGTGTGCCGGAGGGGCTGCCGAAAAACGCCACGACCAACTCCACGTGCTTCAATCTCCCGGGCGATTACTTGTGCGCGTGTAACAAGGTATGTACGTATAACGGCTAGCAGGCTGTGGGGGATAGATGGTTCAGAGTCTTCGTTTTTGGGTGTGGGTGGGATTGTTTTTAGTATTACCGTATGTAGGTGTATGTGTGTTTTCAGGGGGTTTCAGTGTTTCCGTATGTGGGTGTATGCGTATATCTGTGTTTTTGCGTATGTGGGTGTTTGTGTGTTTTCAAGGGTTTCAGTGTTTCCGTATGTGGGTGTATGCGTGTATCTGTGTGTATGCGCATGTGGGTGTATGTGGGTGTGTGTATGTGTGAGTGTGTTTGTGGTCATAGTTCAGGATCTTCGTATGGGCGAGCTCGTGTTTGTGTGTATTTATACGTGTGGCTCTATTCCATCTCCCGTATATGTGCATGTGTGCATGTGTGTGGTTTTAGGCAGGGTCTACCTATGGATATGCATGCGCGTAGTGTATGCGTGCGGATTTGTATGCGTATGTGTGAAACCACGTGTGGGTACGTGGACAAGTCGACCGAGGTTTGTTGCACATATACTTAAGTACAAGCATGCATCCATGCGTGTGTTAGTACAAGTGTGTGTGCGTGTATGTATTGGTGGTATTGGTGGTGGTGTTACATGGCTCGAACAACGTACATAGTGGGATTCTCAACTGATGGCATTTCTCCCGTCTGTAATCTTTTGCACCCGCGCAGCAGCTCAAGAGATACAGCTGTGTTCCATTCTTTGCATACCTACATGTACCTGCATGTATAAACATCCCAACATCCATGCACTCAGAACTCATACTGGATCCTTGGACAAATATAGTCGCGTAAACCCTAAACCCCTATCCATCCGCATCTCACGCTCCACATAGCTTGCCCACAGTGCTTCTACACGTTCTAACACCCCCACCCCCCCAAACGCACCTCGTGTACACACAGGGATTCTACGCTCCACATAGCTTCACTCAGTACTTGTACACGTTTTAACTGAACACACAGGGATTCTACTCTCCACATAGCTTCACTCAGTGCTTGTACACGTTCTAACACCCCCACCCCCCCAAACGCACCTCGCGGACACACAGGGATTCTACGACCCAAACGGCCGGGGCATTGACTGTGTGGATGTCAACGAGTGCCTCGACCCAGGGCTCAACAACTGTGACAAGACCATCAGCCCCTTCAACAACAAGACGGTCAGCGTGTGTCAGAACTTGGTTGGAGACTTCAAGTGCAGGTGTGTAATAGCTCGTATGTGTTGCATTACGCAATGGTAGGCGTGGGCTGTGTCTGTTGTATATGGTGGTGTGGTGTGTATGTTGTATATGGTAGTGTGGTGTGTATGTTGTATATGGTGGTGTGGTGTGTATGTTGTATATGGTGGTGTGGTGTGTCTGTTGTATATGGCGGTGTGTTGTGTCGTTATTGATGCTACATGTTGTGAGAGGTTTGTGTATGTTGGTGTGACAGTGTATTTCGGTTTCTGCATACCCTTCTGTTTCTGTAATTATAATTGTTCCGAAGTACGATCTGTTTCTGTTTATACAATTGTTCCGAAGCACTATATGTTTCTGTTTATACAATTGTTCCGAAGTACTATCTGTTTCTGTTTATACAATTGTTCCAAAGTACTATCAGTTTCTGTTTATACAATTGTTCCGAAGTACTATCTGTTTCTGTTTATACAATTGTTCCGAAGTACTATCAGTTTCTGTTTATATAATTGTTCCGAAGTACTATCTGTTTCTGTTTATACAATTGCTCCAAAGTACCATCTGTTTCAGGGGATTCATGAGTGCCTGTAGATGCAGATTCTCTCCATACCCTCTTCCCGTGTGTCTGTATTGACAAACGTGTCTGTATCGTTATACGGCAGTGTGTATACTCGTGGCTATAGCTCTATTGTGTGCACATCGCTGCAGTGGGGTGAATAGTTCTATCTTCGATAGGCTGTACGTTCTTAATTGGTTCCCGCTCAACGCGGCTGCGGATATAAGGCTGATCCCTAGTTATGAGATCAGATCATATCTCCCCGAAGTTCGGGTAGTTAACCAAAAAACCAAAAAACCAAAAAAACTCACTGAAGGCCGCCCTTATCGTTCACTGCTCAACTATTCAATTACTCTACTGATGTGGACTAGTGATTGTGGGCGTACTCGGAAACATCGGCTAGCACCAGACATGACCACACACACAACACGCATCCACACACACACACATCCACGTATACACACGCGCATGTGATGTCAAACTCGCAGATAAACAAACGCTCAAGGTTGCATATACTTACTTCCATATACACGCCCGTACATAACACACGCCAGCACACAACCAGCACCTCCTACCTATTTAACGCACCTCCACACACGCACTATAGTACTTAAACACTCGAACACACGCGCACAAGCATTCTTATTCACAGTTGTGTGTTTGAGTATACATAACACACACAGGTACACAGCCAACACCTCTGTACTTATCTCAACTCACCCCCACATACGCACTCTAGCACTCTAGCACTTATACATACATACATACATACATACATACATACATACATACATACACACATACGTACATAAACATAAACATATACATATACATATACATATACATATACATATACATATACATATACATATACATATACATATACATATACATATACATATACATATACATATACATATACATATACATATACATATACATATACATACTCATATACATATACATATACATATACATATACATATACATATACATATACATGTACATGTACATATACACATACATTTAGATTTAGATTTATATCTATATTTATATATACATTTACATATACATGTACATAAACATATACATTTACATATACATATACATATACATATATATATACATATACATATACATATACATATACATATACATATACATATACATATACATATACATATACATATGCATATACTTATACATATACGTATAAAAATACATACACCTATGCAGATACATATAATTTTACTTATACTTATACTTATACTTATACTTTTACTTATACATATATATACTTACATATATCCATATCCATATCCATATTCATATCCTTATCCATACGTATAAATAAACACATGCACAAGCACTGACCATCCTCGTTCCCATGCACAGCTGTGTACGGGAGTATCTGGGGAATGGCGTGGTGTGTGATGACTTGGACGAGTGCCTCTATGAAGACTCGTTCTCGTGCCCCGACAACAGTGACTGTCGCAATAGCATTGGCACATATGACTGTGTGTGCAAGGATGGGTTCGAAGGTATGGCCTGGTGCTGTGCTTGTGTGACTGACAATGGATAGTACTCATTTACCTGGTTCACTCATATGTCTTGGTGAACAGATGACCTGTTATTCTGTTTAACTGGCGATGGATATTACTCATTTACCTGGTTCACTCATATTTTTTTGATTAACTTGTGACATGATATATGGTTGAACTTGCCGATGGGTTTGTGGCGTGTGTTTGATATGATCGCGTGTGTGCAGATATAGGGCACGTGTGTTTAAGTGTATGCGTTTGTTAACGGAATGATACAGACACCTGTGTGATCAATCGAGTGAGACCCTCCGGCTGCGAAACGATTATCGATTGGAGTGCTGTAGTCCTCAGCTAATGGTCTGTACTTCGATGGCTCACCACATGCACTCCATAACTCACTGTATAGCACACTTTATAACACACACACATATACCACACACACACTGTTAAATATACATACACATCACACACTCTGATATCCTACACACACGCCACACACTTATACCACACTTGCACATCACACTGTATTGTGTGATGTTGCTCTAGCACACATAGACACCTCTTAACCGACATACACACCACGCACATGCATCAAACTTTCATCAGACTGAAAGCACACACCACACACATCCATCCAACTTACATCAGACTCAGAACACTCCTCAGCAACCAGACGAAACGCACACGCTTCTAAACGCACACTCACGCACACACACGCTTCTAAACGCACACCCACGCACACCCACGCACACACGCGCTTCTAAGCGCGCACACACGCTTCTAAATGCACACACACGCTTCTAAATGCACACACGCACACACACGCTTCTAAACGCACACACGCGCACACACGCTTCTAAACGCATACATACGCACACACACGCTTCTAAACGCACACACACACACACGCTTCTAAACGCACACACACGCACACACACGCTTCTAAACGTACACACACACACACACGCTTCTAAACGCACACACATGCTCACACACGCTTCTTAACGCACACACACGCTCACACACGCTTCTTAACGCACACACACACACTCTCGCTCACGCTAAAGGCACACCAGTGACGGCCATTGACGAGCTCGGCAACGAGTTCCTGTCCTGCAAGACGTGCGGACAAATCCTCAACTGCAAAGAAGCCACGTGCTCACCCTTTCGCGAAGACGAGCTGCAGAGTGAGTCATTCACCACAGTCGATGGCAGACGCAGAGATGTGGAGCCAACAGATAACGGCAACGACAACGGCACCAGTGCAATAACACCCATTGATTCACAGAGCAACGACCAGACATCGGCCAACAACGTGCTGTTGCGATGCAGAAAGTATGCGCGTGTGGGGGTAGGGCGTGTTGGGGTAGGGCGTGTGGGGGTAGGCGTGTGGGGTAGGGCGTGTGGGGGTAGGCGTGTGGGGTAGGGCGTGTGGGGGTAAGCGTGTGGGGGTAGGTCGTGGTGATGGTTTCTTTATGAATGTCTGAGAAATGGGGAGGATTGGCTGGTAGAACCAACTACAGCAATTCATAGCACGGGCATTCTCGTTTGTAAATAGCGGGTGGTGTATACATGTTCGCGATGTAGTGACTAAGGTAGTGGCTTCTGCTGGCCAATGGGCAGTTTCGGTTTACGCCGATCTAAACGCACTCGTTTACTACTAAACACACTCGTATACTACTAACCACACTCGTATACTAAACACACTCTTATACTAAACACACTCGTATACTAAACACACTCTTATACTAAACACACTCGTATACTACTAGCCACACTCGTATACTAAACACACTCGTATACTAAACACAATCTTATTCTAAATACACTCTTATACTAAAAACAATCGTAT